ATGCATTTTACACACAGTACTGGTGCAGAATCTAGAAAATGTGGGAAACACTGGCATCATATGCAGTACTTACTTCTGAAGAAATTATGATGGGACCCTAAAAAATGACTATGTACAATAATGGATTTCTATACATTTTACATCAGATGAAAACGTTTGTTGTAAGATTCAGATAATTATTTATTAAAAGCGAGACATTTTAAATGAGATAAGAAAGAAAAGTATTTCTTTGTGCCCCCCTCCCTGTTAATGCCCTACCTGCCCCTGGCAACACTTTGCTAGACCCGCCCTGCACAGTTACAGCTGTCAGCTACACAAAAGGATCCTGGTGTTATTTGTCTTCAGAAACGTTATAACTTCACTCATTTGGTTTTGTCATGTTTTGTTCTTTACATTGTCTTTCTTCTATATAATTGTTAAACATTTAATAAATATGTTGTTAGGTTTGTAGCTTGAACCCATCCGCTGGAACGTTGAAGACAATATAATTACACTGCTAAGCAAGACACAAATAGGCAAAGTTCTTCATGTTACTCGTGCACGGGAGAGAACCAGACAGAGCGCCGTTCCTTCGCTTGACCCAGTAGCTTCGTCCGTCCTCCGTAACACTGTCTTTTATTGAGGTTACATGAATAGGCATAGGTTCATTAACATACGACGTCTACATACAACAAAGAGTACTTGCCTGTGTGTGTGTGTGTGTGTGTGTGTGTGGTGTTGTGGTGTGTGTGTGTGTGTGTGTTGCTGATCAAGGGTCAAACATCCTTGGTCAGGAAGAGGGTAGCCTCCCCTCACCCCTAAGATGGTCATCCTAGATAAACGGTGAGGAAGTCCTGCAGTTCATCTAAACAAAGAGCACTAGACTAGAAACAACGTAGCTACGTTAATCCTACCATAAACAATAAGAACGGTATGACCTCATGCTCCAAATGCTGCTAATACACACAAAGTTTGCAGACTATCAAGTTCAAAACTCTACATCTACAACAATTACAAAATCTAAGCATATATAAGTAAATATTTCTAAGCATAAATGACAATCACAATACAAATCTAACATTCCCCCTTTGACCTTTATGCTTGAAAATTCCCAGGTATGAATACTCATGTCTGACAGTTTCAATGCAAACATTTTTATACTCACATAGTAAATCACCTAAATTACTGAAAGGTACAACAGTTCAACAATGTATTAGCAGTTATCCAGTCCTCATTGATCTCATCTCATGGCAAACTGCATCCTATGAGCAAACAAAGAAATTGTTAATTTAATAGTGAAAATAAAAAATAACATTTTCAAAAACATCTCAGCTTGGTGTGCTCCTCCAGGTGTGCACATCACATGTCTCTCGCAGAGGTTGAGTTCTGCAGGCGATAATGTCTCCAGTTGTTTCCATCGTGTCCATAGGACCAGAGTCCAAATGTATGTAGAATAAACATTCAAACATACCATTGGTTTTTGTTGTTTGTCAACATGTTCTCAGCTATTTCAAAGCGCAGACCCTCAGCACTCTAGTTTTATGCTCCATACCACTTCAGGCCTTCGTCGTGAGGGGGATATTTATGACTCCTTCATTGTTTCATTGTCCATACTCTGCAGAAAACACCTCTGTGGAAGGTGCAGGTTGTCTTACTGCTATTATGATCCAGCACCTTCAGAGTGTCACGTATGCACAGTACAGTGGCACACGTTAGGTGATGTTCATAGGAAACTGCTGTTATCACCACCATAGCTTCTGGTTCTGTCTTTCACAGAACATGATGTCATCTCGAACTCCTTCTACGCTGTCGATGGAGCTTGGCACTCCTCATCCCTGAGTGTTTATGTCAACCTGCTGAAGGTTAAGGCGAGCACGTCGTACACCTTAGTTGTCTTCTCACGTCAATATTGAATCTTTCATTTATTTAAAATCTCCTGGAACTCAGTAGCACAGCTCTCTGTGTGATGTCTGCTGTGCTGAAGAGACTCTGATCCTCCTGAAGCCTCTCTCCTGCCTCAGCCCCATCTTGTGACGATCCTCTCCTATTTTGCAGGCATTTCATGGTCCTTGCTGTGGCTCCAAGGTCTGATCTCATGATGGGCCCCAACAGCTTGACCTTTGACCTCAACCACTGCCTGGCTGTCAGCTATGCTGGAAGGTTCACGCTTCTCACTGGGCCCTGAAGATTTCTCAGGAGATTACTGCTGCACCTGTATTTCCTTGCTAAGAAGAAAACTTCTATTTGGAGAGCATGTCAACAATCATCAAACACATTCTTTAGTTCATGAACTTCACTTATAGGCCATCAAAGCTCATCTGAACATGGGTGCACCACTTGCATAGGTTTAATATTTGTAAATAAACGGCTAATCACACAAATCACTGCAACAATAATAGTAAACATTGTTTAATGTTAATCCTTGCACTCCACCTCTTGACGCGTTGACATTCCCATGCGTCAACTCACCAAACCTGGATTCCTGTCTAAAGAAAAAGATTAGCTAGATCATGTCCCAGGCAAATCAGGGCATCTCCTCTGGAGTAGCTCCGTAACCCTGCAATAAAGATGTTAGCGTGGTTGCATATAAGTTGCTTAACACCTGGCTCTCCCAGGAGCCTGCATACACACCATCACGGCTGGAAAGCAAATTGGAAGTGAAACCAAACTTCATACCTGTAAACAATTGTATCATAAGAGTAATAAGCATTCAACATCAGCAAGACAAGTGTCATGTGCAGGTTTTCTCAAATCAGTAAACTACAATTATTTCATAAGTCGCCTCAGACATGATCTCCATGTACTCAGCAACATTAATGTAATCGGTGACTGCTCTTAAGCAAAGTCACTCACTTATATATTACTATTATGGGTTCAAAAGTGGCCAGCAAATGAGCCCATAATAAACTATCCCATAAACACCGTAATCTCTTATTTGTTTACTCATGTCACTGTCCGCTTCAGCTGAATCTATACAGCATCTCAAAGAAACAAACATTAGCAATACACATTGACTGTGGTCAGACGGAGGTCAACACAGGTCAAGTTCCAGAGTGCCATAAACACCATAAAGTTACACTCGCTGTGGAAACAGTAACACTGGTCTCATACAGTATGTCTCAAACTATATTAATTTCTCCATCAACATATGCCTGTAACTACAGTTTTCTTCACACATAACCCAGAAATCTCGTAGTAGAGAAAATTAGCCATATCCTATAAATCACATGATCAAACACATGAAGAACCGTAAGCTGTAAAACGAAAATGCAAATGTTAGCGCTTGCGCAGGCGTATGCATATTTGTCACAGATATCTTGTGAGCACACAAGCTAGTGAATGACACACATAGTAATTCACAGACACAGAAAATGGCATTTAAAATGTTAAATCATCACGCAACTCGAGTGTTGCTGTCATCTTCCTGCTTCTGTAAAGGAAGCACACACAGACTCATCTGCACCCCTGCCAGCGGGGGTCAACTTCACACAGTCGTGTTACATCAGTAAAGTCTTGTCACTTTTGTCAGCTTTTACCAGTCAGTCAGTTTGTTTCCTTTCACTCACTCATTCATGTTCATCTTTCTTCTTTGCTGAAGTGGAACCTATCGTCGCATTAGTTCCACCTCAGCAAATGACGTCATTCAAAAGAAAAAGAAGAACTTTAGTTGGATTACATCGCTGAATCCTTTGGATGGGACTGTCATTTAATAATTGTCCCAATAAGTGCTTTCTCCAGAGTCCATTTAAATGTGGAGAACTACTTGGCACAATTTTCTCGACGAGTGTAGCGCTTTTAATTCCGACGTGCAGATCTGCTTAAAGAACAGAGATTATAAAAAACTTTCAGTGCACTTGAAAGTATCAAAATAAAAGGCCTTGTTAGTCATGACACAAGCTCTCATCTCAGGAGGGTAAATCATACCATTAGCATGGTTTATCATACATCGTACTAATCGGCAGGCTCAACTTCACAACAAAAGAAAATCATCAGTAGATTCACTCCAAATCAACATCAGCTGCACAACACACACATAACCCTAATGTCATATTAGCTATGAGTTTAATCACCAGGTCTGTGCTCTTCACTCATTTAAGCACAGATCTATTTTATTCAATTTTCTTTTCCCTTCATCATAAAACATGTGACATGCTGTCATGCACTTCACAAACAGTCTGTTCTGACGTATTCAGAGTTGTGTATCTAAATACAGGATTCACTCGCAATCAAAGCAGGAAACTCAGTGTTTTAGAGTCTCCACTCAACACACAACAAACTCCAACACATCTCATTCACTCGTACTAGAATTCAGTCACCTTCATTAATCTAAAACGATCAACTAATTTGCATATCAGCTATTAACCCACTAAGTTGACAGACGACAGAAAAGCATGTTCAAAATAGTATCACAAAAGACAATTCCCTCATACAGTAAATTACATGTGCTGCCTCAATCAAGCAGGAAGCTTCTCCCAATTTACCATTTTAACAACTAAATTTATTGTCTGATCACTGGTTGCTCAAACCAGGATCCTTTTTCCCACAAAAGTTAAACTGTTGTCCTGCAACCTAGAGAGTCAATTTTTTGCATTGGATAAATTCAGTATTTAATAACAAGTGTCTGCTAAATTGACACTAATTTAACACTGATGAAAGATAACAAGCTAATTTTCATTGCATGGGTGTTTGTGTTATTAGGCAGGTCTAATGCATGTCTGTGGAGCTGCATCTCCAGCAGAGCATGTTCTTAAAGCTGCCTTTCCTACACACTTCTCTGCTATTATTTAATCATTTCTTAACTAATGTGCTATGAGTCTTCATGAGTCATTTTGTGTTTGGAATTGTCAGTAGGGTTAATGCATGTTCTGCTTGTGTGTGTGTGATTTTGTATATGTTTCTATTTTCGCAATGTTTCAGACTCCGTCTCAATTTTCCAACTTAAGCAGTCAGTTTTCTTTTCCCCAGGTTTGCTAACCCAAATTTTGATTTCCCACATTAAATAATTCCTATGTGTTCTCACCTAGTCTTCTCACTCTGTTGTCCTCTCCCACTTCAACAGTCCAATAGCAGGCAGTTTCTCCTTCAGCTTTGTCCTGTCCCTCCTCTGATGCGGTTGATTTTGTGCTAGTGTCTGAAGTGCTGCTGCTGCCTTCTTGAGCGACTTCTTAGCAGCTGCTGCCGGTTTCTTGGCTTTGGCCGCGGCGGGCGTCTTAGCTTTGGTCTCAGTAACCCTGTTCATCTTGAAGGATCCGGAGGCCCCGGTGCCCTTGGTCTGCACCAGAGTGCCCTTCGCCACCAGACTCTTGATGGCGGTCTTGACACGGGCCTTGTTCTTGTCCACATCATAGCCTCCGGCAGCCAGAGCCTTCTTGAGGGCGGCCACGGACAGGCCGTTGCGCTCCTTGGAAGCGGCCACGGCTTTCACAATCAGCTCGCCCACGCTGAGGCCGACCTTCTTGGGCTTGGAAGTCATCGTCTTCTTCTTCTTGGCCTGAACCTCGGCGCAGGGCGTGTTTATGATGGAGCCTTTCCCACCACAGCGCTGGCACGTTGAACGCATCATGAAGGGTCCATTTCTTTCATGTCGCTAGCCGCATGTGGCTTGCCCGAGTCACTCAGTCCTTTTTGAGCATTTCAACATGCTGCCGCCGCAGACCCTGGCCTCAGCTCCAGCAAGTTTAGCGCGCTGATCTCCAAAAAGTCCGAAGGCCAGAAAGACGTCAAATAAGTGTCTCGTGCTGAGAACTCAAACAAAAACTCCTCTTCACGCTGCCATCTTGCTCGCCCTCCGTGAAATTCAACCAATCAGACAGGAAGATGGGTTTGCTTTCTTCTTCTGCTGCTGTTTATCCACATTGCTGCTGCTTTGCTGGGACTTTTTGTGCTCAGGACTTGCTGCTGTCTCTTTATCATGTTATTGCTTTGGAGCTGCATTCCTTATCTTCAGGGAGGAGTGAGCTCGCTTGTGAGGTTGAGAAACACATGGCGCTGTAAATAAGTCAGCCAGAAACTTGGCCTGCATGTTTCCAATGATGTTAAACTATAACTTTCTTCCGACTGCTGCATGTGGAAAATTGATTCAGGTCTGCTTTTCACCTGAAAGTGACAAACTAAGACATTTCATTATTATCATCACTGCTTAATCAACACACATCTCTCTCTGTGTGTGTTTTTGTGAACAGTCTTTTCTTAAAAGCAGAAAATGAAATTGTAGTTGTTTTTGGCTGATCAACACAAAACCTTTTTCCTATGATTTTTCTTTTTCACTCTTTTTTTTCTTTTTTTTTCGTTACAATAGCTGGTGGTCTGCAAAATCACCGCTCTCACTCACAATCAGAGGCAATCACTTTTACACAGCGCACAAAAACACTGTGATGTCAGACACATTCACACTCACTTTTTCATCTGCATAAATAAACCATATGGCTGGAGATATGTGCCATGGTGATCCATAAGCATGATCACCAGTTTATTTAATTATTTTTAATCCAACAAAACAAATAAACAAAAACATGATGCTGATGCTACACACACACACGAGTCAAGGTGCAGAAAAACTGCTCATGGAAACGCTGCACACTCTCTGTTTCCCCCTCTTTGAGTAGTTCTCAGACAGCTCTTGATCTGATAATGTGTAGCTTGCTCATCAGCTCAAAAAACAAAAACAAAACTGCAACGCGACATCACACAGTAGTTGCATGCTCTGCCCACAGTGGCAAAGTCTTACACTTACATATTCAACACAGCTTCTCCATCATGTATTTTTAGATGTGTCATACAGGGTTCAGCATATTAGTTGTTTTCACAGGTGTGCTCCATATCTCAACAATGGTTCATAATAAGACGACCGTCTTCCACACAGGTCAAGTGCCTCTATGCACTTCATTAGTTTAAATATTTGCCTATATCACTTCTCCTCATATGTCATTGTACTGAATTTAAGCAACCACAAGCTTAATGCAGATTACTTTTAACAACTATCCACCTCAATGGTCTGGCACACAGGCTGTTAACATTTTGTGTCAGGAAGGGGTGGGGGGAAAGCCACCCACCAGAGCACAGCTGCTGATGTGGGCTGGCCTTTTCCACACACTCTTCAAGGCTGGTGTGTTTTCTGAAAACTTCTAACATTTGAATCTCTTCCATTTATAAGCCTGCGATTAACCGCACGGCTCAGGTCCGCGTGAAACCCGCGCGACCTCGCTCGCGTGCACCCGCGCAGCTGTGGAGCCTTCGCTCCCTCTCTTTTATACATAAATACTTTGTGCTGCCAGGAGCAAAGTCCAGCACAAACGTCTTTCTCCCTCTAACTCACTCTTGGTTGCTTAGAAACCCATGATAACAACAACAGTCGGTGTTACAGACCACGTGTTCTGCTCCGCACGAACTCACACAACAACAACAACAAAAACGACGACGACGACAACAACAATGACAACAACACAAAATAGGCCTACTCCGGACTCACACCGGACCGCTCGGGACCCTGACCCAGTTGTGGGACGCTCACCCACTCGCGCGACAAAACCCAATGAAGGGACGCTCGGGACACACACGCAGGGCGATTTCAAAACCGGACACTCACCGGACGCTTGGGACCCTTGGGCGATTTAACCAAAACTTCTTTTTCGGGACACTAACCCAGTTATCGCTCCACAAAGCAGCGAACTTCTCAACGCCTCACAAAATGGCGGAGACTGCACAACGACACGGTTATAGAGTTGGCCTCTTTAAACTTACTTGGCGTTGCTTAGCGTGTAATATCAGCCTGAATCCCGCCGATCGCCATTCATCGAGGAGAAAGACAGACAGCGAATCCACAGGAACTTCCTGGCTGACGTCAGTCTTTCAGCGTGCCTCCCCCCCCTCGGTGAATGCGATCCCAGGGATCTGGCATCGAAGGACCAATTAATGTTAGGTTTGTAGCTTGAACCCATCCGCTGGAACGTTAAAGACAATATAATTACACTGCAAAGCAAGAGACAAATAGGCAAAGTTCTTCATGTTACTCGTGCACGGGAGAGAACCAGACAGAGCGCCGTTCCTTCGCTTGACCCCAGTAGCTCTCGTCCGTCCTCCCGTAACACTGTCCTTTTATTGAGGTTACATGAATATGCATAGGTTCATTAACATACGACGTCTACATACAAACAAAGAGTACCTTGCCTGTGTGTGTGTGTGTGTGTGTGTGTGTGTGTGTGTGTTGCTGATCAAAGGGTCAAACATCCTTGGTCAGGAAGAGGGTAGCCTCCCCCTCACCCTAGATGGTTCATCCTAGATAACACGGTGAGGAAGTCCTGCAGTTCATCTAAACAAAGAGCACTTAGACTAGAACAGACGCAACTACGTTAATCCTACCATAAAACAATAAGACACGGTATGACCTCTCATGCTCCCAAAGTGCTGTCTAATACACACAAAGTTTGCAGACTATCAAGGTTCAAAACCTCTACCAATCTACAACTAATTACAAAACTCTAAGCATATATAAGTAAATATTTCTAAGCATAAATAACAATCAACAATACAAATCTAACATATGTCTACAAAAAGATTTTAAAAATCAGACATTTCACACAGACACCCAAATGATTTCTGACTGATGAAGGGGGCTGAAGGTGCCCTGCTCTTGCCCAGCTTCTGCTGCTCTCTCCCTGCTCACTGTCAGCAGCTGGCAGCCTCGGTCCTGCCTGAGACTCTTCATCTATCAGTGCCAAAGAATATGGGAAATAGCAACGCACAACATGCACATTACAAAACAAGCACATGAATCAGCATTACATTCATTAGTGAAGTGCTGACGTTCGTTCCTAAACTTTGGGCCTTAATTAACATCACTGTGAACTAATGTTTGCTTTGCTTCTTAACCAGTGAAGCAGCGAGGGGCTTTCTGAGGTTCCTGCTCGTAAATGCCCAAAATGAGTCGAGTATTTCTGCAACTACAAACTCTGCTTTCATCAGAGGTGTAAATATTACAGCACTGTGTCAGAGTCACTGAGGCTGGAACACAGAAAAAGGAAGTAGATGTATTTATTTTTAGACTTTATTGCCTGGAACCACTTTAAAAATACGCTTTGGGTCACAATTAACTGCAGAAAACCAGGAATCCACATATGAACATTATCTGTGCAGAGATTTATGCTTCTGAAGGTAAACAGTGAAAACTTGCAGCACTAAATGCACAGATAGCCAGGCGTTTCACATTTTGGGACCATCTGCCAGTTTTCATTTCTTAGGTATTGAAGAGCAGAAATGATTGAATTTTATTTACATGCTTAAAAATGTTTGCTTTTGAATATTATTTGAAGAATTACCCACACACTCAGGCACTGTGGGCCTGTTTCCCTTTGCACAACCGAGTGTTGGAAACGGGCCTTTTCTCTTTAAACTCTGAGGGGCTGTAACTTTGGCTTCTATTGGCAGATTTGCATGATTGACCCTCTTTTTAAAATAGTTTTAGCCAAGAGAATCAAGCTAACATCACTGTTTTTACGTCAGCTCACGTCACACGAGCTGTTTCAAGAAAAGTCCTCCTGTCACACAGCAATGCCTACATCAATCACACCACTCTGCTTAAATAATAATAATAATGTTTAGTGAAGCAGGTGAAGCAAAGGGCTGCTTTTAATAGGCTGGGAGACCCAGGTGTGCTGCTTTAGCTGCTGAGCCTCTCATGCTAGCCTCCATCTATAAGCTGGGATCACAGGAGCACTGCAGTCCTGACTAGATCAAGGATTGTTATTCATGCAGGTGACAAAAGTTTACATTCACAGAGTCATAGGATTGAGCCTGGTTTGAAAAGCAGCTGTTTAATGCAGCTGCTTAGAGTTCACACACAGTAGAAGAATCAGACTTGAGTCACATTTCAAACACTGGAAAAATACTCAGCAAGTAACAATGAAAACAGCACAGACTCAGTATATCCTGTTCAGTCCTGTGTTTGATATGAATGTGCTGTTCAGAGAGGATCTCGTGTCCTCTTTTACAAAGCCTTTGTTTCATGATGTTTGTGTATAAATGAATGTAGGTGTGTTTCTAAGTGTGAAGGAGCCCTGGGAGAAAAGACTGAAGCTTGTGCCAAAGAACAAACAGGAAAGAAAGATCAGCATTAATGAAGACGAGCACAGAAGGAGCCCAAGCACGTGTTGCTTTTTCAGATTTCTCTAAAAGTGTGTGTTCATTTGTTCCATCCTTCACAACAAACAACAGCTGACAGACACACATGCACTCTGTGTCACTTCACAGGGGCTGATGAAAGTGGACACAGTAAAGGGAGAGCTGGACCTGCTCTACACATCCTGCACTCTGTTAACAGACTTTATTCTGCAGCATCAACAGATAAAAATATATGAAGATATAGAAACGTTTAACATTGTGACTGTTCACATTAGTGAAGCTGTTACTTTGCTGCCAGGTGGGAAAAGAAGCCTAAAGCTGAGTCTGATTAAACATCTGCTGCACCAGAGAGTTTCATGGCCCTGCTTTATCCTGTGCTTGCTGACCACCTCGTCCTGAAACCTCTTCATCATCCTCACAGTTGTGTGAAGAAAGAGGGAAGCAGGTGGAAACCATCTGTGCTGCTGTGTTCACTTGTGTGTGTGCGTCTATGGTCATATCTAATGTGTACCTACAGACAAACACAAACACCTGGCATTGCACAAGAGTCTCTATGGAGCAACCT